CAGGTAGCCAGAAATTATAAGCACCAAGAAACCCTGACAGCACAACGGATCATTCATTGAGCCTAAAACAGAACAAATATGCAAGAGAAAATTTAGGTGGACTGAACATATACCTAGGAGACCTTCATGTGACATCACACGCTAGACATGTCGTCCCATGAAACTCAAATGATAAACGATGAGATGGACATGCGTTCGAATGATGCATTAAGATCATGTAAGAAGACAACGAAAGCTTGCGGACAATTGTGAAGTCAGCTGGAAATGATGGCAGAGAACTGATTACAGGGGAATTGTGCCTCTGAAGTCCTCTCTTCCAACCAGGGGAATATTAATAATAATAATAATATACATCCAGCAGATAATAAATTCTACAGTGCACAGAGGAATAAAATATTAGTAAAAAGGAACATAAGAGAGATGGTTAAATGTGTTATAAATAACTGATGACATATTTATGAACTGAAATCGCATACATTTATTCCCCTTAATGAATTTGAACAAAGCAGTTTTAGCAGAATAGAATGGTATCATATTTTATTTCGTCGCCTTCTCGTCAGCTGCTTACAGGGCAGAGACATTATTGAATGTATCTACAAAAACAATTTTAACAACAATCAATCGATCAATATACGCATACACTAATAAAATATACATATATACATGCAATATTAAAATTAATCCGAACAATAATATTCATACACAATGAAAACTTTTCAGCATCTCGCATTCGGGTGAAAAATTTCCGGTTACCAGGGCAAAGAAAGACTGATAACCGCTTCTTTCTGAACGCATAACTCAGGTTTCAGGTACTTGATGGAAATGGCTTCAGCAAACTTAAGGAGAATTGAGCTCTTTTGCTTGTTGATAATTTTGAACGACTTTTCGACATCCACCTCATGACCTGTGCCAAGGAGATGCCTGTCGATGGCACTGTTTAAAGCATTTGTTCCCTTTAGACATAAGCTTTTTGGTACATGTTCAGAAAATCGTAGATATGCCCTTCTTTCTGTCCTTCGAAAGTAACTGCTCCAGCAGATACATGTAAATTTGTATATACGGTTGGAATTAACAATGAGAAGGATATCTATCGATTTTTGATTGTACAAAAGAGCAAGTTTTTCGATAGACGGGAACGAGCTTAGCTGCAGGATAGGCTATAGCCAGTGATGTACTCAGCCTTCTGTTGATCATCGCTGCAGTGTTTTTACCTTTATAATCAAGCGGAAATTAGATTAGCTTTTCACCCACTGTGATTTGTTTTGCATTTGTGACTTCAGATCTTCCATACTTGTTGATGAACCTTTGAGGGTATCCATTACTCTTCAATGTCTTTTCAAGAAGCTCAAATTCTTCCTCTAATTTCTCTATACAGCATATTCTCCTCACTCTATAGTACAGAGTCTTGACTAGACCACGTTTAAAGCTATTTGAACAAAAGCTACTGAAATGTAAGTATTGTCCTTTCCATGTAGACTTTCGATAAATTGACTTTTGAAGACTACCGTCTTCTAGGCGTTACATGGTGATGTCGAGGAAGTGAAACTTTCCGTCACTTTCATGTTCCATAGTGAACTCAATATTGGCGTGCGCATCATTGAATAATCTGAGTAAGTGTGAAGCATGACTTTCATTTTTGCACACTATAAATGTGTCATCAACATATCGACAGTAAGAAGTTGTTTCGTCGATCGCATGCTTCAACTTTGTTTTTTCAAGGTTGGACATGAATATATCTGCTAAAACAGGACTTAGTAGACTGCCCATAGCTACACCATCTATTTGGCGGTAAAGAGTGTTATTCCATTATGGGTGAATTTTGTTTTGATAAAGTCTCACAGTATTATACAGTAATATTTACTGATGACGTTTCGAGCACAATTTATTGCTCATAATCATATCAAGGTGCAATAAATTGTGCTCGAAACGTCATCAGTAAACATTACTGTACAACACTGTGGGACTTTATCAAAACAAAACTCACCCATAATGGAATTACACTCTACCACAGTGCATAAGTTTTATTCTTATATCAATGGTAAAGAGTGTTGTCAAATTGAAATTGCACATCCATGGTACACATTAGCAGTGGGTGTTTGAATTCCGACTCTGGTAGTGGGAGAAGATCATACTGCTGACGAATGATCGCAATAGTTTCGTTGATTGGAATCATTGTGAACTGTAATCTCTTAGTTTTGATGATCTTCAACACCGACTACGAAGATACCACAAAATAAAGGAATATTTCTCATTTCAGAAAGATAATGTATTGCCTAAAGCTTAAATTTTATTCGACCCGTAATGAGGATACGTGTATTCAGTGTTTTAGACTCGTAAACAAGCTATAATTAACTCTCCAGTCAATCAATGATCGATTTGTGTGACTATAAATCAACAAACTTGAATGATAATCACACTGGTTAACCATTTGATTAAGTATTTTTTTCTATATAAGATTACACTTTGTGAATATATCTCTTATTCGAATTATATCTATTAGCTATAGGTAAGATTATCGATTGTGAGAGGTAATTTATTCAATTAATTATTCATGAACACAGCTAACTGTAAGATTTAGACTATCATTTTTCTAAGAGAAGGAAGACTTCAAAATATAGAGATTTATGGCCTAGAAGCACGTTGATGGGAACTGTTTAATCTCGAAGCTATTACAATTTTTATTTATTTATGACACAAACCCAGGTGCAATATGGCAACACAATAATAATAACACGAAATATGCAAAAAGAAAACAATAGGTGGAGAACGAATATAGGACAAATAGCACTTATATTTGACAAGGCCGAACAGCATTCGTTGAATTATTTTCAGAAAGGGAAGAAAGAAGGAAATGTCAGCACGTTCATCACGGATTGCGATTCTTGTCTATATCTGATTATGGTCGGTGCCACTGATGTGAGCTATCTCTCGGAGCCCAACTACTGAGTCGTGACGCACCAACCGATGCTAACCCAATACAAATATCCTTCACCCCACCTCTCTACTTTTTCCATTCCGTCCCAAGGATAGCGAACAGAGACCTGTACGGAAGCCTCTGGGATGGCGTTCGTAGCATATGTCCAAGCCACCGCAGCCAATGTTTCCAGATGACGACACTTAATGAATGAAAACCTCCTCTGTGTTCAAATACACATCGCCGGACCTCCGAATAACTCACACAATGATGCCATCGAACGCAAGCAAATCTACAGACACGGGGATGATTGAATGCGCAGAGTTGCTACATCCTCCACTCGGAGAGGCCATCTATCACACGATTAGAGTAAGAATGTTTGTACAGAAGTATTGTAAACTCGTCCTTGGACAGCTGGGCTAACTTCGCAACGACTCCAGAGGTGGCTGAAGTTGACGTATGCCACCTTAGCTTTTATGATACTGTTGGAATTCCCATCCATCACCCCTCCACCAGCACTCATACAACTACCCAGATACAAAAATTTATCAACAACTTCAAGCGGTTCACCTGCAAGAGTGAATGCAGGTACAGGCTCCTGCCAATCTTGTAACAGTACATTGCACTTAGACGGCGCAAAGCACATACCATACTTGCAGACACTGATCGCCAACTGACTAAGTGAGGTTTGAGCATCCTGCACGCTTGTAGCACAGTAAACGGTGCCGCCTACATACTTGAGGTCGAAGTCTTCCTCCAGGAAGTAGATCAACACCACCACTATGCACGTCCTTCGGGAGCTGACTTTAGAATGTCATCGATGGGAAAGTTAGAGAAAATTGGAGCGATTGGGTAACCCCACTGACGGCTGGGAACAGTGATGACAATTGGTTGTTTGCCCTCACTCTGCTTGTATGCGGCTTTCAGAATGCTCAAAATTTTCAAAAGTACGCCCCTTTCTAACTGACACTTCTGTTCAGCTAGTCGAAGGCGACCCTAATATCAAAAGACGACGATTTTTAGCCAGCAATACGCGTGACAGTGTTCCAAAAACTCACTAAAGTTGTCCACGGCTTGAACGAAACTCAGCCCGCGCTTCGCGAATCAATCGTCACATGTTTTACATAGCCTACGAAACAAGCCAACAGTCAGTATTTTAGACGCAACTGATAGCAGACTGATACCCCTGTGATATGCTACTTCGATGGGAATGATGATGGCTTCATTCTGCACTGATAGCACGCCCTGAACAATCCAGTCTAATATATAATGGGCATGAGGTAGACTGTCTAGACCGGGTACATTATGCAGTTCCTTTCGGACCTCCCCCTGGATTGGTAGGTCCGTACTGAACAACTAAGGAACACTGGCTGTTGGCGATGGACGCTGGCACTGAAAGCCAAGTGAACTGCTTTCCAAAATGCCCTGCCCAGTGTTCAAGTCGTCTCAAAGCTATGCTCATGGGTACTTCATCACGTGACTTGGTAACGTTTCGGGCACTCACACTCAAGACTTATGGACAAGCTGTTCGAATAACAGTCTCAACGTAATATGACCCCAACCCAATGCGTCGCTACAGCAACTGTCAAAAAATTCTAGCCTGTCTAAATCCGATGAAGGCCTTTGGCATGCAATCTGAATGATAATAGTCCAAAGTAAGTAACTTTATCAACAACTGCTCACCTCAACCCTACACAGATCATTGCTCCAGTTTTTCATACACAGATCAGTGAAATTTTCTGAAACCTGCCTATGATAATAGAAACCCGGCTGACGAAAGTGCAAGATGAGATGAACAGTTGAATGTAGTGAAGCAGCCCCTTACGATTCCCATTCGCACTAACATATCAAGACCATTGGAGGTTAAAAGCGATTAATAAGCACTCGTACCCGAATCCCGTCCCTAAACATTGGTCCCCCTATTCGGCAACACTGTTAAGATAATCAAAAAGAATACAATAACCCTATTTCACATCTCATCCCATTTCTACCCGAAAATCAAACGAAAACAACAAAGGCAGCTAATCATTTTGTAGTGGCCCTAAAAAGGGCCGTTTTCACGTTCTCTAACTTCCAAGGCTCCAATTTATGGCTTAACCTTGTCAGTTTTCTTGGGCAGGAGAACAGCTTGGATGTTAGGCAACACTCCTCCCTGAGCAATTGTCACACCACCAAGAAGTTTGTTCAGCTCTTCATCATTGCGGATGGCCAGTTGAAGGTGACGTGGAATGATACGAGTCTTCTTGTTGTCACGAGCAGCATTACCAGCCAACTCCAGAACTTCAGCAGCCAAGTACTCCAAAACTGCTGCGAGGTAGACTGGGGCACCAGCTCCAACACGTTCAGCGTAATTTCCTTTGCGAAGTAAACGATGGACACGACCGACTGGGAATTGAAGACCAGCACGGGCTGACCTTGTCTTAGCCTTACTACGAACTTTGCCACCTTTGCCACGACCACTCATTGTTATATCGAAGCAGAGAAACGTGAACAAAAATTTGGGGAGCACGATACCATTTATATTGTGATTCATCGTATTCAAAGCATTTCATTGGTTATTTCGCTATCTCGGCACCCATTGGACACTTTTATTCATCAATCCTGTGATTGGAAAGGTTTTTTCTAAACTATAGGTCATATGTGTCCAAGTCTAAGGGCAAAGAGGTCATGATTAACATTTGACCTAGATGACAATTTTTTCTGTATTCACTCATTCATTGGTTAGGTAGACAAAGACACACGGTTATGAATATGTCACCGTTCCGTGCAGCTAATCTTGAGATTACGTTTACAAAAAATAAGAACTTTGAAATACAACAAAGAGAGAATAATTTATAGGTTTTTCAAGAGTCAATTTTTAGAGATTTGGTCACGTCTAGATGTCACTCTGAGAACCACGAAAAAACAGGGAGCGTTGGACAACATTCTCGTCCTAGTTCGGGAATCTTTATTATTTCCCACCGAGGATCGAACCCATGATTTTGTGTTAATACGTACAGCTCATCGACCACTTATCCACTTGGGCCGGCACCCAATGGCCCAATTTGCAATTTTAGGGTGACTGACAGCCGATGTTATCCTCTAGTATTTGTCCTCACGCCTGACCTGGTTGATCTCTGGGTACAACTTCTCACTAGAATTCCAGGAGAATTCATTTGGCAGTCAGTCAATTGTAAGCATCCGATTAATTTTCCAGACTTATTTTTCTGGGATTTGATCTGTTTCAAGTTTGCTCACGTCATCAGTGTTGTCATTATTGTCTTGAAACAAAAATGTAGGCATATTTTCGGGGAAATATTCGCTTTGTAACTTAAATAGTTACCTCATACGACGGCAATAACAAGCAGTTTACAACCAAACTGTGGATTCTTGGGTAAATCGCCTAAAATATACTGATGTACTTAGAAATGAATTAATGCATTTGGGCTTTCACTGCAATCAAAATATCAGTCTACAACGGTATGGATCGGCTGAGCCAATGGTAAATAATTAGCTTCCATAATATCCCTAAAATCTGCTCATTACATTGACAAACGCGGAATACAGGGGGTCATTTAATGCAGAAGCCCAATGCCTTCAGATGAAAAATGACATAAGGAAGATAATGTAGAAATACAGACGAGATGCATTGTACCAAGATGTACTGTACCTTAAGCACAATCTGTGAATTACTTTAATTCACAGAAGTTTGGAATTAACAATCGGAGATTGTAAAAGTTAAGTGTGATGTACTTGGTGTAACTATTTCACTTCAGTTTCAGTTAAGCAATAGTTGATTCCATTGTAATTTACTGAAAGGATGACTAGTATGATAATTTCTAAGCATTAGATGTCTTGAATACATTAACTCAAAGATATTTGTTTACTTTGTAATTGAGACATTTACAAATGAAAACATGTGATCCATGGAAAAGATCGATTCAAACGATTTCACTTATTGTACACTCACAATTTCATTTCATGAATGTGAATAATAGTTTTATTCTTCACTGCGGATAGATGTCAGTTAGTGGAGGGAGCACTAGGCAGTTGTTTTGTCAACAGTGGAAGTCATCGACCCTACATTCAGTCAACACCAAGATCTTGAAGTTACGAGGCGGGTACATTCATAACTCACTGATTGGTTTGGAATTCATTGACTGTGAATTCTATTCCCTGTCATTTCTCAGTACTCGGCTATAATCGATCAGTGCCATCCATGAGCATTCTTTTCCCAAGCAACGTGATATATCGAAAGGGACAGAAGTCTACATTAGAACATTAGGACATTCATGTTGAATTCATTCTTGATGGCATATGAGACATTATTACCACGTCTTTGCTGCACCATCTAAATGAATTACTGAACTTCACAGTTATTAGGCAGGTTTATTGTGAGTATTCCTTGAAGTTAGCAGTGGAAAATATAGCTTCAAGCTTGAGGTTTGAAGTTTCAGTGACACTGGTGTTGTTTTCACGAGGTGCGGCTTGTAACCTCAGGCCCCACCTTCCCTCTTTACCTCGCTTACTTGTAGCTAACTGAAGTTTAAGAATGCGTCGACTGGGTATCGAAACTGGACCTGATGAGTCGTTGGTGAGCATTTCACCACTGAATCACCGATACACTACTTATTAATAAAGTCATATAGCCCTTTGTGTTCTTCTGAAACAGATATCCATGTAATCTTAGCATAGTCAATGTATACTCCTATCAGGAAGCAAGTTGTAGTCAATTCTGTAGTGATCTTGGATATCCAGTAAATTTTCAGCTAACCCGTTATAAAAGTTAGTGGTTACTTGAAATTCAGTTATAGTCCACTGCCACAAATTATAAATACCACCGGCAGATCTGTCCCAACGTTGGAGGCGTGACCACTGGTAGAAGTTATTTGCTGGTTGGACAATATCCTTCGGACGCCGATGAGTTGTTCCTGCATATTCCAAAGAATACAACGTGGGTATTAATAGAGCAAAAGGACGGTAGGAACCAGTGAGAAGGCGAAGTGATGGAAAGTACAACCATATTTTCACTCGAACGCTAATGTTATTTTATTACTGTCAAGGAAGTCGATTAAACAGAAATTATGTACATTGTGTTCTTTATTGACACCTAGCAAAAGCTTTACATATTTGTAATTTAGGACTCTACAGACCGAGATATTCGTTCTCTGTTAGCTCATCGGTCATTAGTGTGGAAGATTCGAAGATTTGTTTAGTTTCAAGCGACGAAACCCGCACCCTGCATCCTACTGTTAGCCAACATTAACCACATTATAGCTAATTACCACTATCGATACATATGCGGTTAATAAGATAGCTGTCGACGCCAGTAACTGTACAATTGCCGCTACCTACAGTCTGTTTCATGAATATGAAAAGTAAACAAACTGCTTCTCTAAAGCCACTTGCAATCCTATGCACTTGGAAGTGACCCATGTCTTTTCTCTGAGGCCTAGTCATGGTACCTGGCTACCCATACTCTGGTAGGTGTAGCAAGCCTAGACCAGTGGACCATAACCCCATATCTAATGATAATGTAGAATAATAATTTTGCATTTTAAAGGCATAATTGCAAGTAGAATAAATGCAAAATTGTTAAGACTAATGAGTGTTAATCAAAATATAATGAAGGTGTAGTAAACCTGAGTCATTATTGACAAAAACAAAATACCTAATATATGAGTTGTTAACAAAATGCGTAATACTTTGTGAGAATCACATTAGGTGATAGAAGACAGTCTAAACAAGTTTCTCCCACTTACAAAGTCCCTAATTCTTTATTTCGAAGATTAAACCTTCAGCAATTCAAGTGAGTTGAAAACACAATGATTCGGTAGGTTATTTTTCGATGGTAAATGACCAGTATCGGTAAGATGTCTAGTTATCAGATATTTTTCAGAGCATTTTCAATCTCTTTGTAGTTGTCTGCGGTTGGTGCTGTTCACCGACATTAATAGACTATTAAGAACTAAAATATACATTTGTATAACACCATTTGCAGGCAGATGAACAACTGCTTAGTATCTTTCACCATTGTGAAGTTTATTTGTTTTGAATGTTCGACTGTTATCTAAACCCTCGAGATGTAAGGAGGTAGCAAGCGCTGAAAGTGTTGTCTGGAAAAATGATAAAATCTTCGCTGTCAAACTCCTCACCTCAAAAAAACACTATCTTTTATAATATTGAAATCTTTGAGTTGGACGGTTCTATTGTGAAACTCGGTTTCTCCTGCTAGATGACATTTTCAGAGTTAAATCTAAGAAATGAGAGCCTTGTTATTAAACTATCCAGCCTAGAGAATATAACAGCGACCAAATCATCACCCTCTGACCCATAGATCTTTATTATTGAAGTCTCATACTGTGTAGTTTGCTCTGGTGATTCTACTTGTAAGTTAGTTAGATAATTTCAGATTAACAAGGAGTTGATAGATCAGTTATGTTACTCAGTGTTTATCACTCACTGAGTGTGCATGGTGAAATACGAATTATCCTAGTTTGTGAATTATCAGCAGTACGCGCCCATTGGGGTTTGAGCCAGGGACCTTTCGGTTATAAGGTAAGCTCGGATACCATTCAGCCACTGAGACTCGACTCAATGACCAGCCCATGTATTCTAACTTCTACCATTTCGTGATTTTAACGCGACCGCCAACCGATGTCATCGGCACGAAATCCATCCTCACTCCCAACTGGATAAAACTCACTGGTGACGATGAGCTTGCTTTGTAGCCTGAAGGTCCTGGGTTCGAAACCTGGTGGTGGGTGCGTACTGCCGATGATTCTAAAACTAGAATGAAACAGCTAACCACTATCCCCTGGTTCTCAGTGGTTTTCTAACTGATATCAAACTCGAGAAAAAAATCTAGTCCTTACAAATCAGCCCTTGAAAATACAAATTTCTCACACTGTATATCAATGAAACTTGACATACTAGTAAGAAACAGTTTCGTACCTCTTATATTTCAGAACTTTTGAGTCTAATATCTCCTTATACCTAATAGCGTGATTACATCTAAGTGTGTTCGCTCCCAATATGAAATGAATCATGTTGTCACCACTTTATACACTAGAATGTCATCCTCTAGACTGTTGCTTTACAACAGGTACACATTTTAGAATGGATATTTCTTAAACTTGCAATCCTCGAACAAATCATCTTTCCACATAATTGTAGTCCTACACCAGTTAATAATTGCAGTCAAGTTTTATTTCTACTTCTAACATTGCAGTTAGCTTAGTAGACAGTATTAAAACTATGCAAATAAGAGCAAATATTAATCCCAAATAAATATGAGGAAAAAGAGTTGTTTCTCTGGTGTAGATACTGTCAAAATCTGTGTAGATCTCATCATCAGTCAATAAAAATAGTAAGATATGCTGAAATTCAAACTACCCATTTATCCTACTTTCTTTCAGGTGATGGGCATGAAAGCATTTTTGTAAAAGATTGAGATTCCGGTATCCGGTGATTTAAACAAGGAAT